GCGGGGCGGGGAACGGTGAGGAGGGAACATCGGCCATGGGCGAGCGGCGGGACGAGGAGATCGGCGGGCCGGGAACGGGTGAGCGGGGCCGGGGGGGGAGGCGGGCGGCTCCATCCCACCCTTCGTCTAGGGAGGAGAGGCCATGCCGGCTTTGCTCCTCTGTCTCTCCAAAGCCGGGGCTGTGGGGACGAGCTGGAGGGGGGTGCCTGCTCCTCGCCGGGGGAGCAGCCCCCAGGCCAGGGCTGGAGGCACCTGCCCCGAGCCCCTGGAGGCCTTCGACACCTAGAAAGCAGCTTTTTTTTATTTAATTTTGGCTGGCTTACTGGGGACACGTTGGCTTTTCCAAGCTCCCGCTTGCGCTGGTAGCTGACCCCAGGCTGGGAGAGCCACGGTCTTTTTTGGTTTTGTGGCTGCATGCACCTTGGGTCTGTCCTTGGGGAGCCGTGCTGGTCAATGCAGGTGCCCTTCAGCAGCGCGATGTTGAAATACAAACAGATCAGCTGCCTTCTGCTCCGTTCCTGGGACTGGCATGGGGAGCTGAAGGCTGGAAGGCCTCTTTGCTCCCCCCTTGGAGCAAATGCGCTGCCCTGCAGGGCTGGAAATTGCCCTGAGAAGATGGGGGAAAAAATATGTTTATGCTCTGGTCCTGAGCAGTTTGCTCCCAGATTGTCCTCAGATCGTCCCGCAGAGGCTTGGATGGAGCATGGCTCACCGAGCTGTACGTCTGCCCTCCTTAAGGGGGGATAATCTAGGATAGACGAAGCAAGCAGGAGGGTGGATGGCACAAAAATAGTTGTAAAACGAGTTCCTTGCTCTGTGGGAACAAATTATTTTTTTTTTAAATGTGCAAGAAATCCTGCCTGGCCCAGAATAATCAGTAGCCTGGTGGTTTGGTGCTCATCGTGGATGCAGGAGATGCTGGGCGAAGCTCTGCTCTGTGGGGGATTCAAGTCAGAACCTTAACCTCGTGGTTTTACCCCAAGCATTTGGTCAAAGTGGATGTTTCTTAGTGCTGCTCGATAGATCTCGTTACGGTGCTTATAAGAGACTGGTAACGAACAGGGAGACAAACATGGGGCTTTACTGGCACTAGCTGTTCTATGGTTGAGTCTGGAAATTTGAACGAGTTCGTTAGATATAGTGTGTCATCAAGAAAATGTCTGATTTCACAGAAATTGCTGTTTTCCAATCAAAAGACCGTTTTGTCAGAGATTTCACTATCTGCTCTGATAAGAAGTGTAGTACTCGCCTAGGACCAGAGACTGTATTACCCAGCTCTGAAACTGGTTTTACGTACTAGCTTGGTCTATTTTTAGTGTTCCTCTTAAACCTGGTGGTTTTGGGAGGAGCAGAGCTAGCTTAAGTGTACCCCATTCCCAGATACCCACCCCCGATACTCCCTAACATCCGCATCCCACCCGATTTCGAGCTGTGTTGGTACAACTCTTTGTGGAGCCGTGCAGCAATCCAGATTGCTGAACCTATCTGGATTAAAAATAGCCTCTTTTACTTTATTTTCTGCTGCGGTTTGCTGATTTTCTTCATCACGCAACCCCAGCTGTGCAAGGAGGGGAAGAGAAGGAGCATCGGGGCAAGGGCTTGCACAAGTCACAGTAGCCACCCACCGAAATGCATGTGGGATTACAGCTTTGGTGGAATGGGCTGGTTTTATTACATGAAATATATATGTTGGTCAGTCTGGCACCTGCCAAAGTGGCCAACTGATTATTCTTGGTTAGAATCACTTTGAGACAAGAAAGTGAAATGTTTATTATTTTTGGTAAATGCTATTTTTGCACAGTTTGGCTTTTGGGTTTTTTTTTTTTTTTTGGTGGCGAGAGAACTACCCACTAGTTCTGACGGGGTGTTTGGAGTCAGCCTGCATGCGCATGGGGATTTTAGTACTTGGCTTTGGTTCTGTTTTTATTTGAAACTGTAAGTGTGTCTTGGTAATTTCCGCAGCCAAAGGGTCCGTAGAGAGTGTGTGGTTAGAGCTCTGTTGCCCTATCAAGCAGAACAAGAGACCAGGGGAAAGAAAGTCCATGCTGAAAGGAGAGCATCTGTAGTGAGAGCAAAAGTAATGCAACAACCCATGCCTAAGGAAGGATATAGCCCTGTTGGGGAGGTTTTCAGGCTTGCTGAAAGGCAAAAGGAGTAAGTAACCAGCAGTCAGGAGGAATGCAGCTGCAGGATTTCAGGCAGGGGAACTGTATGCCCACTTTCTCCAGCCTCAAAAAAGTTGTGGTTTTTTTTTTTCTTTTCCCAAATGGAGGGGCTCTGGGGAGGTTGTTTTTAACACGTGAACTGTTGCTGTTGCTCTCACAAGGCTGCCTGTGTGTCGGGAGACCCTGGACGTCGCTGCAGCACCTGCCGTCGCCTTGACGGCGCATGGGCTTTAGATCCAGGACATCCCCAGCATCGATTTTTCGCGGTCCCAGGAGGCAGCAGATGAACTCCAGCTCGCGTGGCAGCAGGCTGATGTTTTTTGGGAGGGCTGGATGTTGCTCTGCAGGTGCTGTGGGGTGGGCTGGGTTTCAACATGTGGGTTTCAACGTACTGTTGATGGGCTGCACGGAAGGAACCCTCGAAACGTAACCTAGCGAAGGCAAGCCTGTCATCAGGGGGTTTTTAATTTGCTGTGTGCTAGTCTACAGCTCTCCCATAAGGTCAAAGCACATCGAGTCTGGCTGTCTTAGGCCATTGGGCTACAGCACTACCATGGAGAATGACTTGGCTGGCTGGCTTTGCAAAGAAAGGGTTGTCTTTAGTTGTTGAAGTGCTAAAATACCTGTGCTGGTGCTAGATTTGGGAAGAGTCAATGCAGGCACCTGCAGCTGAGTGAATCCACAACAGGTGGCAACCCTGTGAAAGATGATAGAAGAGGGGAGCTGTGGCAGGATGGGGCTTTGAGGAGCATCTGCTTGAGATGAAAGGCAGCAACGACTGCCTGTGCAATGAATTAACGAGGGAAAACCTGTAATAACCACATCCTCAATTACATGAGCAGCTGAAAGTAACAGGAGGGAGGTTATAAAATCAAACAAATGTTACCTGGAAGGTTTCTCTGGTGTAGAACTCCTACTCTGAGTAGGTTTTTCACCAACATCGGAGTGGGCAGCTGTGGCTTTGCCCAGCCAAGGATGGGGACCTCCACCTCTCTGCAACCTGTCCTAAGGCTGCATCACCCTCCAGGGGAAAAATTTCATCCTCTTGTCCAGTCTGAACCTCCCCAGGTGCAACTTGAGGTGTTTCTCCTTATTTTTTCGATCTGCCGGTGCCAGAAGAGAGGCTCCATCATCTCTCTCCATCAGGGAGTTGTGGGCTGCAGTTGGATCTCCCCAGCTTTTCTCCCCCAGACTAAACAAGCCCATCTCCCTTGCTTTTTGTGTAATTATGTATGGTCTTGGGGCTGCCTTCTCTGCGTAGGAATTTGGGGCACAGTTTGAAACAACCAGGTTTGCTGAAATTTCTTATGACAGAGGGTTTTTCTATATAGTGTAGGAACACAGCCTTCCCTACCCGTGAGGAAACTAATAATGTTTTCTCCCCAGCCAGCTAGATGCATTCGGATATTGCTGTGAGATTATATCTGAGTTGGTAGAGGTTAAGTGGAGCTGTGTAAAGGTTGCCAGTCCTCTGGGCAGAGCGGTAGCTCTCCTGAGCGGGTGCCGGGGTTCCCTGCATGGCCTGACTCCTAAAAGTGATCTAAATAAATACTGTCAGTCTCTGATATTGAGGTGAAAAGCATTACAAAAGCTCCTGCAGCCTAGATATCTGCATTCCTGGGCTACCTGATCCCAGGGGTAATTTAAAATACAATCCAGCACCTGGGTTTTCCAGCAATCACCTTGCCTCACTATGGAAGAGTGTTTTAAATACATCAAACCAGGAGGCTGCAAAAGGTACCACCTCACCCCAAACAGGGACATAACTCCTAGGTTTAAGGCCAAGGATATTAATTTAGGAGAGTGGAGCTGCATCAGCCTGCTTACTTTTTTCAGCTAATTGCAAAGGTTAGAGAGCTGCGCCATCCAAAAATTCCCCTCTGCCCAGCAATTCGAATGTGCGGTTCTTCTAGGGGAAAATAACTCCACCGTTATGATAGCTCTTGAACCTCCATGTGAGCCAGCCGCTCTCTTTCTGAGAGTATCAGGAAACATCCGCTGCAGAGAGGTGGTTTGTAATGATCTGTTGTGATGATTTACTTGCAGGAGGCCTGTAGCAGTTGCCGGATAATTGACTCGATAAGTTCCTGGTCTTGCCCATGAAAAAACCGCATAGAGTAAGACATGCTTCCTACCACAGTCACGTTAATGTGGCACTGCGTATCCATCATATGGTGTCAGCCTGGCTCCACACGCGTTGGAGTAGGGGTAAAACCTTGTGCTGATTTAATGGGCTGTCCCAGCTGAGACCAAATATCCATCTTGGCTGGTATCCTGACTCCAGGAGTAGCCGCTTAGGCAAAAGCACGTGAACAGGACAAAGGTGCAGTACTCTTTCATTGAAAACTCATGCCAACTGCACAGGTTTGTGACTCAGGGACTTCCTGAGGAAGAGCTGGAATCTTTGTATTTAATAGAGTGTTTTCCCCACAAATCCGTCCAGTTGATCTGTGAACCCATCTGCAGCAACCCATGGTGAGACCTTCAGAAAATGCTGCTTGATATTAGTCCTTCTTGGCTCTGCCGGACAGCCTGGGATACAACCTGTGCCGCCTTTTCCATGCCCAGCGCGAGGCCTTTTCCCCTTTCATTTGCCAACAGACTCGCTCCTCATCTCTGCAAATGGGCACCTCCATCAGCCCAGTTTAAGCCAGAGGTCTGGTTTTTGGCTGGACCATGAGCAGAAGCCTGCCCTGGTGACCCATCCCATGCCCAACATCTGCCTCTGGTACGTGTAATATCCCGGCTGTGTTGGCTCTGTTGATGCATGGTTTAGATCAGATCCGTTACCGCGTGGCAGGTTCGCCGGCTCTGCTTAATAGCAGCCCGACAAATACAAGATTAGAACAGTTGTCTGTGTTTTGGAGTAGAAAAAATGAGAAGGAAAAAGGTGAGAAAGCTAAAGAAAAAGAT